AGGATGACTTCCCTTGACCTGGTGGCCACCTCTCACTGCTTTGTGGCTGAAGCACTACTCATATTCCTCAAGAATCAGTTAGAAATTGGTTTTACTATCATATTCTGTTATTTTATTTGGAGTGTGTTTTTCCTAAGTTGTTTAGGAAGACAAAAAATGTATTAATAGCTCTGGGGCCAGAGACCTTCTGGAACTCAAGGTTGTACAGAATTATTACTGAAATGCATGAACAGAAAATAAAACCTTAAGAAAATTACAGTCAAGTGGCAGTCAACACACAGAGCATCTTTGCTGTTCATTGCCTTGTAAAGTATCAGTGGATATGAACAGAAACAATTACAGTGTTAATGGCTGTGCATTAAGGAATTTTGTTTTATCATTGCCTTATGTTCTTTAGGTTCTTGTCTAGAATGGACAATAAAAATATTTTTTCTCTGACAGCTCAATACTATTGTAGGCTTTGCCAAAACATTAAGATGGAATCACAGCTAATAATGAAAATTGGAAGACTGGCTTGACTTGCTCAATTTGGTGAGCAAAATGCTTTTCTCATTCCATGAAGCTGTCAGTGCAACTCTCAGGACAGTGAGCAATGTAACATTAAGAATGCAGTCCAAAATTAAAAGTAACCAGTCTGAAATCTTCTGGTCACATACAACACAGCTGCAGCCAGAAAAAAATCATTACCATAAAAATTGGTTGTGTTTTTTTTTAAATCTTCTGTTTTGTAATATAATAAAATATACAGGCAATTACACAACTGGTATCTGTCCACATTATTAAGCTAAATGGTTTACCATTCGGGGGGCACCATACTTCCATCAACTTCCCAAAACGTATTTTTGCCATTCATTTCATCAGTATAGATGACCCATCTGTGTCGACCTTAAATAAACAAACAGAAATATCATATTAGCTAAAAAAAAATATATATTTTCATATAAAGGAGAGAATTCATGAAAACACAAGGAAAAGTATTTTCACTAAAAGTATTGACTATTATGGGTACTTATTTCCAAGTCTTCTGTATTTCCATTGTTACTTTATTTTTATATGGCTGAATTTAACGCTCTCATGAGGAAGCAACACCAGTAACCAGTTTAAGCCTATCCTGTGGTTCTTTGCCCTGAAGTGATCAAACAAGTAAGCAGAGCTATGAGGCAGTTTTAAAGGCAGTTCTCTTTTCCCTCACCTATTAAGCTATCAGCTTTTAGGTCAAGGACCAAATTCACCTCTCAATCACATTATCACACAGGAATACCTCCAGAGAGAGCATCTGCTTGGCGCATATTTATTCCATACTTATTATTTCAGATTGTCTATGATTGCAAATTAATTGGGGGAAGCAGTGAAGAGACAGAAGATGGCAGAAGATGTCTCATTTCGATGAGCTCCATCTCATAGGCAACAAGTTCTATTTCACTAGCAGAAACCACACAAGCTATACAAATCTGGAGAGGTGTTCACATTAGCACACATACCGAAGAAGTTTCTTTTGTCTTCGTAGTATTTGTTCCCATATTTGTCAATTCCTATCAGTGTACCAGTCTTCAAGTCATTGACCCTGTGAATTCCCAAAACAACGGTTTCAATTGATGTCATCTTAGAATGAAGTGGTGATAAGAGGTTTCTTTGTGAATTGTAAAAATCTGTAATGAAAACTCTTAAACCCATGTTTGTAAAGCTATTAAACAAAAACATCCAAGCTTAAGGACTGCAAAACATAATCAACTATTCCTGCAACTAATGTCAGTGTGCTTTTACTGTGCACCCCACTGACAGGATAACAGAAGTCAGACAAAAAGGCTCTTGGAGGCTATTATTTATTTTAAAGCTCTTTAGAATGGAAGGTAAAGCAACTCCACAATATAACACAATTTAACACCCACAAAACCTTAAATACTGAGGAATTAAGTCCCAGAGACACAGGCTAATTGACTTAGCTGAAGATGTGAAGGATCTTTCTTCACTATTTGTTACTATTATTTCAGCTTGAATTGTCATGGCAAGCAGCCATGATGACCACTGTAAACTGAAGCAGTCTAAGAGACCTCACATGCCTGTGTGGGCACTAACCTCCAGGAGAGAAATAGTAATATTTTAAGCCATTGCAACTGCTTGCCAAGGAAATGCTGCGAAACCCTAAATTACAATTGATACTTTCCAGCTTTTGTGTAACTGTGAAAGCTGAAAGCATTTATGCTGACAGTCTGGACACTTACACTGACCCAGATAAGGGACAACTTTTCAACAGTTTCAACTGTTTATACAGAACATATTTTAACGTTACTGTACATACGAATAATTAAAGTGCACCTATATGCAGTTAACTAACATTCTAGTGTTAAAATCACCAAAGTGCTCTTTTCCCCCTAGATCTGCATCTTTGTTTTCCTTTTTACTGACATTTATCCCAGGCAGAATTACATAAGGAAAAGTTCTTTGTAGTATTATATGCACTCTGAACTCAGCCCCAGGTGACAGAAGGGATGTGCACACATGTGTTTCCTTAGCTGGGAGTTTAACTATATAACCCACAGACCAATTTTTTTTGCGGTCTTTTCTCCCATGGCACATGAAAGCAATAATCACTCCACCAAGTACTTGTTTTAAACCTCCCAGACAGAAAGATTCTTTGACGCAGCTCTTCTCTGTCAAAAAAAAACACTCAACGATCTCTGGTCCACCTATACAAGCCCAAGCTCCCAGCCTCGGAAAAGGAAGAGTCATCTCACTGCTGCTCTACCTTCCTTCTTCCCCTCCCTTTCTTGTAGGGGTTCTTATGTCCTTGTCCTGACTTCATGCCCTGAATATTGACATCAAACACCAAGAGGTATTTATGGCTTTCAGTGGACATTTTCCACAACTTCACTGAGTCTTGAGTAAACAGAATGTTTCCAGGCACACAGGCTCTTACTGATTTGACATCTACTGCATAAAATCTGGTCCAGCCACCTTAGGGGAAAACGTATAGAGAAAAGCAGGGAAATTCAGAATAAAACTCTCACGGAGAAAAAGTGTCCCTGTTTGGATTAATTTCTTAAACGTTAACAACTGATGCAAGCAAGATACACCTTGAGCTGGGATGGAAGATTCTGTGGCTTGAAAGGTGAAGGAGAGGCAGCAGCTATGTTTGTGGCTGGTGTAGTTAGGAGGCTGAGGTGTTCTCCACCTACCACACCTTCCTTTTAACTTTAGTCTTCTGAAAGAAAAACTAGACAGCACTGCCTTCAGCGTTACCTGCTCCCATCCCTGTGGTACAAAGGCACCAACACAGCATGAAATCTTTGACTCACAAAAGCTCTCTGACAAGACATACATTAAGATGTGCTTTGGAAGAGGTGCTCTGGTGAACTGTAATACTCAACTCTTCTGCACTTTTATTTCCCCAGCTCCATTTCTTCTTGAGAACTGTCAGTGTTAATAGCTACAGTCTGAGAAGGGAAACAAAGTAGAGAAAAAACTTGGCAGGATGACAGAAAATAATAGTAAAATACTAGCCAGGGAGTTCACATATTGTCTTAACTTATACTGCTTAACAGCCTCAAATTTCCTTCTAAAAAGTTGTGTGAGAGGAAGGTCTATCTGAACTGCTTCCTGCGGTGGAGACAGAAAAGCCAGAAGCTGCCTGCCACCACAACTAGGAGGAACACAAAGTTGAGACCTTCCAAAAGTCAAGCCAACTTCAGAAAAGCATACAATATTGTGTCATGAAACAAATGAGAAAATTATTTAAAATGTGTAATAATTGTAAAGGGAGCAATACACTGAGTGACAAGGACATGCTCAGCTGAAAGAAGAAATACAAAGTTAATTGAGGGTTACCAGTGAAGTTCCACAGAGAATGTTGATATTAGTAGCCTTATTTAACACCTTACAGGGTCCCTGCACAAAACAAAACCAAAACACAAACTCCATGCCCAAAAAGCACAGGGGTCTGACAGACTATGATATTACCATACAGAGGAATGTCACGTTATTGTACAGGATGTTCTGTACCATCTTCAGGGCTGCAGCGATACTATCAGAATGAAATTCAGTGTTAAGAAGGTCAGAGAACAAGGTGATGCACCTGGAGACTAGTAAGAACTGAAGAACTGTGTGTGTAATCACAAGGAAAACATCTGGATGTCACAAGGAAATAACAAGCTGCCACTTCAGTGACATGTGGGGAAAAGAGGACAAGCTGATCCTAGGACCAACCAGGTGAACTAAGCTGTCTTCAGTGGACAAAACAAGTGCTAAAGCCACCGTATGACAGTACTGATGAGGCCTGATCAGCTACTGTGTAAAATGTTACATTTAACCATTCAAAAGAGACCAATTTAAACTACAAGAAATAACAAAAAAAGGGCTCATTATGATAAAAAAGTCATCATAATGACTAGGAACAAAAGTCTTCAAGAAGGCTCAGAAAGTTTCTTTATCCTAGTGTAATAAAGTCCCTGATATATAGCAGGGAACTTTACTTTTGTGTATCCTCCCTATGCCATACTCCTGACTACCCACTGACTAAAAAAAGGCTTTTCAACTCTGTGGTCAGGCCTACAACATTCACTGTACCCTGAAGAAATGTTCTATTACTTTACCAAGACTAGCTACAAAGGTATACAGGTTAGTGACACTGCCAAATTTGGATCACGTACCATTCAGCCTTCCACCCTGCATTTCAGCAAGGATCTGAATGGAAAAGAGCACCTTTGTAAATCTGCAGCTCCTCCCTTTTGGGAGGAGCTTCAGTCATGGCTCTGTCACAATTCAAAATACTCTGTGCTAGGTAGAGATGAGATGTGAGCAGAGAAAAAAAGAAACAGGAGAAAGTTTAGTGTGGACAAGTACAAGATTCTGTGCTTGGGGAACAAAGTACGTGGACACTACTGTAAACAAAGTTTGCAACTAATTTTGCAGATAGCGACACTGGGGCTAGAGGGCATCCAAAGCCAAGCACAGGTCAACGGTGAAAACCCGTTGCTAGTGGCACAGGTACGGTTTGGAGCGTCGAAGAATTACAGCCGGTAAGGCAGGTAATCAGTTCTCTGCTTTACACCGCGAGGTTCCAGCAGAGGCAGGGCTCTCGGAGCTGCGCAGCGGACACTTGGAGAAAGCCGCCGCCAGCCCGAGAC